ACAGCAGTCACACTTGACTTACAGCCTCTGATCACAGTCCTAAAGAATGTCTTTGGACAGAAAGGCAAAGGTGAAGTAGAGGCATACAACTGCTCACCAAATACAAGGACAGGGAGGCCTGTCTGAGGACCCAGAGATGTTGGAAAGCTGTTGGATTCTTTACAGGTGCCTCCTGCAGCAGAAGAGGCCTGATGCTGGTGCTGCACGCCCTGCTCACCCTAATCCTCACCCCATGGTGGTTACAGCTGAATCAGGAATGCTGTATCCCAGTGTTACACCAGAAGGGGTAGAAGACCAAGTATCAGAAAAGTCCTGGGATTCCAGAGCTGATCTCATTCCTGTCTGTGTTTGAATACACAGAATTGGAGTTCACACTGAAAATGGCATCCAGGAAGAAGGATTCCTTTAACTGACTTTTCTCAGTCATTCAGACTTCACAGAGATCCCATAACCATTAAGTGAATCTTTGTATATTATCTTTGTATAAACCCATTGCAGTACAGGCAGCTGGCTGTGATTGGAGGGTTCTGGATCATCTCTGACATTCTGGAGCCCACAGTCATCTACATCACAAGTCCCCATGAGTGCATTGATTAAACATGCACAGTCCATCTTGTATCTTGTCTGAGTTGTACTTAAGAAGATGCTAAGGTGGCGGAAATCCCCATATTCTAGCTGAGACCCTGCATTCATTCCAAATTCATGTTCTGAGCATTGTGCATGTATTGTTGCCAGTGCAGCATTTTAAAAATCATCTGAAAGACTGTGGCTCCCTGCTCCCAAAGAGTGTCTTTTATTCACCACCAAGGCCACAAGGAATAGTACATTCTTACTTATGTGACAGAGGAGAAGATCTAGTAGAGGTCAAATTATTTATAAGCAAAAAAGAAACAGCTAAAATATCTCAGCTCCTGTTGAGAGAAAAGGAAAAGTCTACAGGAAATGGCAGAGCACTCAGCTGACAGATAATGACCAAGGAAAAACAAGAACGGTGATTCTTCAACTCTTGAAGAAAGGAGTCCTCCATAGTTTCACCTTCAAATCCCTGTTATTGTGACACCTGGGTGGCTCAGTTAGTTAAGTGTCTGACTCTTGATTTCAGCTCCGGTCATGCTCTTACAGTTTCTTAGATCAAGCCCCGTATTGGGCTCCACACAGAGCCTAGAACCTGCTTCAGATTCTCTCTCTCTCTCCTCAAAATATTTTAAATAAACTTTATAAAAAAAATCCCTGTTCACTATTAGTAATAGAGACACTAATAGAGAGACCATATATTAGTTCAAATTACAGATCAACTTGAACATTTGGGCAGTGTCACCCAATGTTACTATGACTGTCAATGGTAGAGAATGAAAAAGAGTCCACAAAAACCCACTTTTACTGTCAGCTCCTACCAGGAAAAGTGCATTCAGTTCATCCAGAAGGAGGAATGTAAATACATAAGAGAAATGGCAAGTTACTGATACCTGAAACCAAAGGAACACATTGACAACTGTAGTTAAACACAACCAGAAGCTTAAACATACATTGTAGAACAGCTCAGAGGTAGCATTACCTAATTTCTTTTAAAAAGGCATTTTGAATGAAAAAAGTAATATCTTCATAATATGAGGTTGCACAAGAATTTTTTGAACTAGTCACAAAGAGGCACCTGGGTGGCTCAGTCGATTGAGCATCCAACTCTGATTTCGGCTCAGGTCATGATCCCAGGGTTGTGGGATCAAGCCCCATGTTGGGCTCTTCACTGAGCATGGAGCCTTCTTGTTCTTTCTCCCTCTCCCTCTCCTCTGCTCACTCACGCTCTCTCAAACAAATTTTTTTTTAATTTTTTAAAAAAGAACTAGGCACAAAGTACAATCAGTATAAAAGACTTAAAATCAACTTCATCAAACTTAAGAACTTATGTCCACTAAAAAAAAAAAAAAAAAAAAAAGATGAACAGGCAAGCCAAGGACTGCAACATGACAAAGGACTAGAATCTAGAATTCAAAAAACAGAAAACTACAAATCAGGAAGGAAAAATGGCAGGCAACCTAACAGAAAAGTGTGCAAGAGACATGAATAAGTACTTCAGGGGATAGAAAATGTCCAGTAAACACATAAAAGCTGTTCAACCTTACTGGTCATCAGAGAAAAAAAAGTCATAGTGAAAATATATCAGAGTAGTCGAAATTACAAAGTTTGCCAATACCAAATGTAGTGTGGATTTGTAACAATATAAACTCTCATGTCTGTTGGCATGAGAATCATTTAGAATCATCTACTAAAGCTGAACTATGCATACCATATGACATAGTAGTTCTACTTTGAGTGATATCATCAACAAAAATACATGCACACATGCATCAAGAGACACATATAAAAATGTTCCTAGCAGCATGTTTGTAATACCTCTGGACTGAAAACAACCCAGATATCTATCAGATAAAATAAGTAGTATGTGCATGCAATGGAAAACTATATAGCAAAGCTAATAAGCTATTGCTGCATATATCAACATGGGATGGATCTTACAGTGTTCAGAGAAGTAAAACACAAAAACATACTACATGATTGCATTTATATAAAGTTCATTAACACACAAAATTAAAGTGTTAAGAAATATGTATTAGCCTGCTCAAACTGCCATAAGAAAATACCATAGACTAGGTGGCTTAAACAACTGACATTTACTTTCTCACAGCTCTAGTAGCTGGAAGTCAAAGATCAACCTGCCAGCATAGACAGTTTCCCCTGAGACTTCCTGGCTAGTAGATAGCTACTTTCTTGTGTGTTCAGCAGACCTCTTCTTTGTGTGTGCCTGGGAAGAGAGAATGAATTTCCTGGTCAGTCTCCTTATAAGGTATTAATCCTATCTATCACAGCCCCACCTTGTGACCTCCTTTAACCTTAATTACCTATCTCTACATATAATCGCAGTGGAAGTTAGGGCTTCAACTTGTGAATTTGGGAGAGACACAGTTCAGTCTATAACAGGACAATAAGTATTAATGTAAAGTTAAATAAGGAAGTGATTATAGCATTAAGGAATGGTAAGTATTGATATAAAGCAAAGTAAGGAAGTCAGGATAGAAGTTACCTAAGATATGAGGAGAGGTAGGAGTTGGGATTAGAAAATGCCATGCTGGCAGTGTTTTGCTTCTGGAGCCACATAGCTGTTCATTTTATACATCATTTATTAAATTGCATATTAATGTTTTATATGCTTTTCTGTATGTATCTTATATTTAACTTAAACTTTTTTTAAAAAAGTAAAGCCTTTGTGTCCATTCTCGTTTCCTGGTCTATAATCTGTTAACATTGGTGATCTATTCCATTCATATTACTGTATTATTCATAGGGACTGTGCTTAACTATTTGCCTTTTCTGATCCCCCATAGAAATTATTTTCATTAATTTTTAAAACATTTATGGTAGGTAATGGTAAATTCCAAATGTTTTAGCAGTGCTCTTGTGGAGTATTATTAAAATATATTTCTTGGGGCGCCTGGGTGGCTTAGTCGGTTAAGCGTCCGACTTTCGCTTAGGTCATGATCTCGCGGTTCGTGGGTTCGGGCCCCGCGTCGGGCTCTGTGCTGACTGCCAGCTCAGAGCCTGGAGCCTATTTCAGAGTCTGTCACTCCCTCTCTCTCTGACCCTCCCCTGCTCGCGCTGTCTCTCTCTCTCTCTCTCCTAGAAATAAATAAAAAAAAAAAATTAAAAAAAAATAAAATAAAATATATTTCTTGACATCCTGATGAATTCAATTAATTATATTTTTGTCCTCAAATATTTTCCTGTGTATGAGATTCCAGCTTTGCTTGTTTCTAGCCTACACATTATTAAGGTTAAATCGTTTGTTAGAAATATATGTGGTTCTGTTAAAGATGATCTTTTACTGGTAATAGTAAGAAATAGGGGAGTTTTTCAAAAAGTGAACTATCCCCAGATATAATCAGTAAAAGAAATGCTGACTAGAAACAATTCTCCTTTTTTTTTTAAGTTTACTTATTTATTTTGGGGTGACTGGGTGGCTCAGTTGGCGGAGTGTCCAACTTTGGCTCAGGTCATGATCTCACAGTTCGTGGATTCGGGGCCCATGTTGGGCCCTTTGCAGACAGCTAGCTCAGAACCTGGAGGCTGCTTTGGATTCTGTGTCTTCCTCTCTCTCTCTCTGCCCCTCCCCTGCTCATGCTCTCGCTGTCAAAAACAAATATTTTAGGGACACCTGGGTGGATCAGTCGGTTAAGCATCCAACTTCAGCTCAAGTCATGATCTCACAGTTCATGAGTTCGAGCCTCACATCAGGCTCTGTGCTGACAGCTAGGTCAGAGCCTGGAGCCTGTTTCGGATTCTGTATCTCCCTTTCTCTCTGACCCTCCCCTGCTCACGCTGTCTCCCTCTCTCTCAGAAATAAGTAAAACATTTAAATAAATAAATAAATGATAAATAAATAAATTTTTTAAAAAAATAATAAAGCATATTTATTTATTTTGAGAGAGCAAGCAGGGGAGGGACAGACAGAGGAAGAGAGGGAGAATCCCAAGCATGCTCCACACTGTCAGCACAGAGCCTGATGCCAGGGCTCAAACTCACAAACCATGAGATCACAACCTGAGCTGAAGTCAGACACTTAACCATCTAAGCCACCCAAGTGCCCTTAGAAATAGAGTTTTTTACATAGCTCTACTTTCTTCTAGTATCATTAGTCAAGGTGGTATGACTACTGAAATGGCATATGAATTCCTAATTCGGCAATCCTTCAAAGGGAGTATGAATTTCTGTCATAATCAGGAAGTTATCTAGGAATCTGATTTGTTCCTTACCCTGGAAATTAACCCCAATAACTCAAGGGATATCCTTCTCTGCCCCCCAGATTGTTTGTGCACTGAGAAGACAGCAGATAGTGGTTCTTCTCATTCAGTCATATTCAGTCATTTGTCTATACCATACAGAAGAAACAGTAAAACCGTGGGTTATCCCTTAAGAATATTTCTCATAAAAGTATTTTTTTATTGCAGGTAATTCGCTCCTTTCTGCTTTTTCCAACAATCGAGCGACTGTCGGAGTCACCAAACGGCAGGATTGCCACTCCACTTCTGTGCTGGCTTCGATATGCTCTCTATGCTCTTGGCTACCTTTTACTTAAACCATGTCCTGAGAAAATCAGGTCCCTGATATTAAGAATCAGTCTTCAGATGATGAACCTGCAGAACGAATTTTCGGTCCAGAATATATTGGAACCATTCTGCCTTGGTAAGCACGTTTTAAAAGGTTTATGTTTATTCTTGTATCAGAAAGTACTAGGAGAACAACTTCAGACAGTCAATGAATATCAAGCAAGGAATTATTTGTTGCTTTTCTCCCCAAAGCTTAAAACCAGACATAAAATAAAAATAGAAATAGGAACTTTAATTTTAATTTCATCAAGCTTTAATTGTAAACCTTACCCTTCTGATTCTCCCCTCTCGCTGCTAGATGGTAGGAAGGAGTATTTACAGGAGTACAGCGTGTGCCCTGTTCGTCCAGTGTAAGAACCTAACAGAAACCAGCCAAGGAAACCAGGCCCAATATCTTCTCCTAGAATGAGCAGGCTGTGCTTTTGTTTTCCTCTTTAAATGTTTTTGGAGGAGTTTACATGATAAAATTAATAAATAATAGTCATGGTAATACAACACTGGATGTTGTGCTGATTATATTTTGTGAAATGTTCCAGGGAATGTTTGCTACTTTACCTTTTGGCTTCAACCTTGGTTTTTAAATATAATCTGTCTTTGTATGTAATACTAATTCATAGGATGATTGTAAATTATTTTCATAATAAAATAATCCTTTCTTAATCTATACCTCAAGAGGTTATTGTAGGATTAAATATAATATATGCAATGTTTCTATATAATATTTTATTTATAATAAACCTTCAGTGAATGATATAACAACAGTTGCAGCAGCACCTACTGGCACCGTTCTAACCTTTTATTTGTAGTTCTCAAAACTAATCAGGTTTGAGTATTTTACTGTCCCCGTTTTACAGATAAAGATACTGAGATACAGAGAAGTTACGTGATTGGCTCAGTCACACAACTAGTGAGTAGTGTTCAAACTTCGGCAATCTACCACAGTGCTAAGCTTCTTTTCACCATAGTTGCTACTATTATCTTTTTGCCCCAGTCAGCCATAGTGGCAAGACTCCTGAATAAAGTTTACCATGTTCACCTATGTTAAGAGTGCCACACAGTCATGTACATAATGAATCCAGAAACAAGTCACAGCCCCATTGTACAGCTACAGATTGATTATACAAGGTTATTTTTCCAAATATGTAGCAATAAGCAATCATTACAAATACAGACTTCAATATATTTTCTATTTTGTATGGATTTTTGTCTCCTCCATACTTTCCCCAACATCCATTCTTTATTATAGCCTTAACATAGCAGTGGAAGAAGATGAGATAGGAAGAAAGGAAGCAAAGATAAGGACAGTTATAAAAATCACCAAAGATTGAAGTTGGAGAGGTCCTTTAAAGAAGGATAAGGTCCAGCCCTTTATCCTTCCCTCATATTATAGAAGAGAAAGAGATGGCCTAAGGGAAAATAGTATTGACTGCCAATCAGAAACCCTCAATTCTCATTTTGGTTTTGCTCCCAACCTACTCTGTGACTTCAATTTAGTCCCTTCCCCTGTCTGGCCCTCAGTCATTGCTCTAAACAAAAGTGAGACTAGATGATCTTTAAAGGACCAATACACTTTGGAAATATTTGAAACCAAAATGGAAGTTATGTGAAATTCTGGCAAACATGTATAAAATTACTCCACATTTACTTCAATAAGTCATTTTATTTTCCTATCATTTTTTTTTTACTTTGGTATTTTTCTTTTTACCCTATAGGGGAGATTATAAAATGCATTTTCCAGTTAGGGACTCCATTTTCCTACGAGGAATTCTGCTTCCAGGAGGATTGAATAGATGTATCTTTCTCTGCTTTTCCTACCAAGTACTAAAACCCCTGAATATTAGGGAACACAGACAAAAAACCATAAGAAACAGAAAACAAATAATAAAATGGCATACAAGCTCTAACATACCAATAATTACATTAAATGTAAATAGTCAAAACATACCATATAAAAGACAAATATCGGCAACGTGGATTAAAAAGTATTACCTAAGTATATGCTGTCTTCAGACAATTCAGTTCAAATATAATTATATATAAGTAGATTGAAAGTAAAAGAATGGACAAAGATACATCATGTAAACAATAATCAAAAGGAACTAGGAATGACTGTATCAATATCAGATAGAGTAGACTTCAGAGCAAAAAAAAAATTACCAGGGACAGAGAGGGACATTGCATAACAATAATAAAAGGTTCAGTCTACCAAGAAGACAGAAGACAGCAATCCTAAACATGTGTGCACCAAACAAGAGACCTGCAAAATATATGAAGCAAACACAATAGAAATGAAAGAAATAATGGACAAATCCACAGTTACAGGTGGATACTTAAGCACACCTCTCTTAACAGTTGATGGAACAAGACAGAAAATGAGCAAGGATATAGAAGAATTCAATCACAGTGTTCACTAACAGAATTTAATAGACATTTATAGAACACTTTGCCCAAAACATACGAGTTTCTGATAGGCATTGGATAGTCAGCTACATGTGCTTTTCTTTTTTTTTTAATATTTTTATTTATTTCTAGGAGAGAGAGAGAGACAGTGTGAGCAGGGGAGGGTCAGAGAGAGGGAGTCACAGACTGAAACAGGCTCCAGGCTCTGAGCTGGCAGTCAGCACAGAGCCCGACGCGGGGCCCGAACCCACGAACCGTGAGATCATGACCTAAGCGAAAGTCGGACGCTTAACCGACTAAGCCACCCAGGCGCCCCTACATGTGCTTTTTTTTTTTTTTTTTTTTTTTTTTTTTACAAATAGTTTATTGTCAAATTAGTTTCCACATAACACCCAGTGCTCATCCCCACAAGTGCCCTCCTCCATGCCCATCCCCCCCTCCCCCCCACATCCATCAGTCCTCAGTTTTTGTCAGCATTCAAGAGTCTCTCATGGTTTGCCTCTCTCCCTTTCCACACCATTTCCCCCCTTTTTCTCCCCCATGGTCCTCAGTAGTTCCTCCTAATCCTTCTATACGTGCAAACATATGATATTTGTCCTTCTCTGCCTGACTTGTTTCGCTCAGCATAACACCCTCAAGGTCCATCCATGTTGCTACACATGGCCAGATTTCATTGTTTCTCATTGCCACCTACATGTGCTTTTCTTATACCTCTTTAGAAATATGTTCTATGAGCACCTGGGTGGCTCAGTCGGTTAAGCATCCCACTTCAGCTCAGGTCCTGATCTCGCAGTTTGTGGGTTCAAGCCCTGCATTGCGCTCTGTGCGGACAGCTCAGAGCCTGGAGCCTGCTTCAGATTCTGTGTCTCCCTCTCTCTCTGCCCCTCCCCCACTTGTGCTCTGTCTCTGTCTCAAAAATGAATAAACATTTAAAAAAAAGAGAAATATATTCTAAACCCAAACCAGGACACAGAGTATACAAAAGTTGTATTTGTTTTTCTACATACATTTTAGAGAAGTGAGCTGTATAAGCTGCACTTGAGAGAAAGGACTCTTCCTTTCAGCTGTAGTAATTTACCTCCTGCTGCGTCTTTCGGTGGCCCCAGGGGCAGGCATTCAGGAGCAAGACAGTTTGGACATGACACACTATCCTCCCTGGCTCAAGGAAATCAGAACCTTTTAGCCACATTGCTGCCTGGGGAGCCCTGAGATTCCTTTTCCACACAACCCTTGTAAAGTTATACTATGTGCAAATTAGACTCTAAACCAGACTGAGCTCTCAGCTGCCTTACCTCATCTCCATTCCAAACAACCAACATGCAAACAAACTTTTGGAACACAGCTCTCCTATTTCTGACACCCTTCCTTCTCTAATATTCTGTTCCCTTTGTTCTAGATCAGGCCTTCTGATGTCCAAGTAAGCAGTACTTTGGTGGTCTCTTTTTTCTCCATTCCCTACTCAATCTGTAACCTTGGGTAAAGGGAAAGCAGGTGAAAATTACTTGTTTTTCTTCTTTGGGTCCTTGGCTCATTGTCTACTTGGGTTTTAGTTAAGTCTCGTAGTCGTGACCCTAGGCTGATCCCTAACCAAGTATTTTAATCATGCTAGCCAGTCTCCTCCTACCTGTCCCCTTTGGGTCCCATGTCACCCTTGCCTCCTCTTGCAGCAAGTACCACAGACGCTGCTTTGCTCAGGTTGCCCTGGCAGTCCCCTAGACGATTCCTATTACCTCGCTTACTACAAAAGGAAGAAGCTCTCGGCTAAGAGAGACCCATACTCGTAAGACCCTGGCTTTTGCAGGTGATTAGCGAACTCCTTCCAAGCTTATATCCCATGAATGGTAAAGGTAATCAGTATTCAAAAAAAAAAAAAAAAAGAAAAAGGTAATCAGTATTCAGACCAGCCACTTGAGTCAGCAGCATGATTTTTAGGTTACACAAAGAGATGGTTTATCAAGAAAAAAGAAGAGCAGCTCCAAGGTCATTCTCAGTGGTCTGTGTCATCTGTGACATCCCTGTAGACCTGTTTTTCTGGCTTTACTGTCATCCAAAGAGTGACCTTGAACATGCCAGCTTGACTTTTAGGAGGCCTTGCAGTGTTTGCACATTATGTAATGTCTGTGCTTTAGTAGAAATCTTACAGAAACAAACGGAGGAAGTTTGCTAGTCCAAGTAGTGGATAATAAATCCTGCCCTATCTAGATAGAAACTGATTTTCTGTATCCTTTAGTTTATACACATATTTTTTTGTTGTAGTAAAGTCTGAAAACTTCAGGGAACCAAAATATTCAAGCATCTCAAATGCTGCTGCCCTTTTGGCAAAGATGGCAATTCCTGTAGGCTAAGATTCTATGTATTAGCCTCCTTCACCAAACTGAGTAAAAAAAACCACTTCCTCTCCAGCATTCAAAGAGTAGCCCTAATTCAATTAGCATACTTTATAAACTTTACCACAGTGTCCATCAGATGAATTTACATAATTAGATTGTTTTAAGTGTTGTTTTCAAAGAAAATATATGGGGTTTTTTACTTTAGTTCTGGAATGTTTGCTACTACATATTTTCTTTACAATAGATGTTCTTCTATTTCATTAGAAATAGGCTTTTCACTGAGACAGCTAAATTGGATTTCCTGATCAAAGCCGAAAGCAAATATATTTTAGCTTAGCAGTATCAC